CATGTTTTAGCTATTGTAGAGAGTGCTGCTATGAACATTGGGGTACATGTGCTCCTATGCCTCAGCATTTCTGTATCCCTTGGGTAAATTCCTAGCAGTGCTATTGCTGGGTCATAGGGGAGTTCTACTGTTAGTTTCCTGAGGAACCTCCACACTGTTTTCCAGAGGGGCTGTACCAGTTTACATTCCCACCAACAGTGTAGGAGGGTGCCCGTTTCTCCACATTAGAATGATTACTTTTGATTCTCCATCCCCTTCTTCCCCCTTTTAGATTGAAAACTGCATAGTGTGATGGTTAATTTTATGTGTCAACTTGGCTATACCACAGTGTCCAGATACTTGTTCAAACATTATTCTATATGTTTCTGTGAAGGTGCTTTGGATGAAATCTACAGTTTAACTGGTGAACTCTATGTAAAGCAGTTAGTGTAAACCACTCCATAATGTGAGTGGGCCTCATTCAATCAGTTGAAGGCCTTAGGAGAACAAAGACTGACCTTCCCTGAGCAAGAAAGAATTCTACTAGCAGACTGCCTTTGATCTTGAACTGGAATTCTCCCCTGCATCAACCTGCAAGCCTATCCTGCAGATTTTGGACTTGCCAAGCCTCCACAATCACTTGAGCTGATTTCTTAAAAAAAAAATTCTCTTTGTGTGTGTGTGTGTGTGTGTGTGTGTGTACATCCCATTGGTTCTGTTCCTCTGGAGAACTGTGACCAATAGCCATACTCTTAAACTATTCTCTTAGTGATTATTCTAAAGATCATAAGATGTATTCTTGACTTATAAGAGTCTATTATTGTAACTTTTTTCCATCCTCCTAGATGATGAACAGATTTTAGAATGCTTGATTCCATTTACCTTCTCCTAACATATATACCATTATTGTACATTTTTAAATACAAAAGACATTAATATTATTGGATTATATAATTGATGTCAATATTCATTTAGATTTACCCATATATTTATCTTTTTTAAATTTTTTAAATGTTTTTTATTTATTTCTGGGAGAGAGAGGCAGCATGAGCAGGGGAGGGTCAGAGAGAGAGGGAGATACAGAATCTGAAGCAGGCTCCAGGCTCTGAGCTAGCTGTCAGCACAGAGCCCGACACGGGGCTTGAACCCATGAACTGTGAAATCATGACCTGAGCTGAAGTCAGATGCTTAACCAACTGAGCCACCTAGGCGCCCCCCCCCCTTTTTTTAAGTAGACTTCACACTCAGCACAGCCCAACAGGGAGAGTGAACTCATGACCAAGTTCAAAACCTCAGCTGATGATGCATAGGAGCACATGTACCCCAATGTTCATAGCACCACTCTCAACAATAGCTAAAACATGGAAAGAGCCTAAGTGTTCATCAACAGATGAATGGATCAAGAAGATGTGGTTTATCTATACCATGGAATACTATATGGCAATGAGAAACAATGAAATCTGGCCATGTGTAGCAACATGGATGGACCTTGAGGGTGTTATGCTGAGCGAAATAAGTCAGGCAGAAAAGGACAAATATCATATGTTTGCACGTATAGGAGGATTAGGAGGAACTTAACTGAGGACCATGGGGGAGAAGAAGGGGGGAAATAGTGGGGGAAAGGGAGAGAGGCAAACCATGAGAGACTCTTGACTGCTGAGAAACAAACTGAGGACTGATGGATGTGGGGGGGAGGGGGGAGATGGGCATGGAGGAGGGCACTTGTGGTGATGAGCACTGGGTTATATGGCAACCAACTTGACAATAAACTATTTGTAAGAAATAAATAAATAAATAAAAATAAAAATAAACAAAAACAAAACCTCAGCTGAGATCAAGAGTCAGACACTTAACTGACTGAGCCACCCAGGCACCTCATTACCCACATATTTATCATTTTAATTGATCTTAATTTCCTCATGTATCTCTAACCTTATTACAGCTGGGATCATTTTCCTTCTGCCCAAAGAATGCCACTGTGAATCTTCTGGTGACTATACTCTATTTTGTTTGTTTGAAAATTTCTTAATTTCACCTTCATTCTTAAAATATTTGCTTTTAGTTTTTTAACGTTATTGAGCCATCATTTTTTGGCTTCAAACTATTCTGTTATAAAGTCAGTTGTTAGTCTAATTATTGTTTCTTTAAAGATCAACTCTTATTTTCTCTAGTTATTCTCAAGATTTGTCTCTTTGTCTTTGGATTTTAGCAATTTTTCATGATGTATTGATGTATCAATTGTATGGATTAGAAATACACACATACACACACACACACACACACACACACACGAATTCTCTGTGGATTAATTCACATATCATTTCTGCCCATGAGTGTCTTTCCTTTCATTCTGGAATTCCATCTATGTGCGTATTAAACTTTATCATCATATCTTCTATGCGCTTTCTTTGTATTCTATATTTTCCATCCTTTTTCTTATGCCTCATTTTACATAGTTTCTTCTCACTTACCGTCTAGTTCACAAATTCTATCTTTATCTGTGTCTAATATGCTATTATAGCCATCACTGAGTCCTTATTTTCAGTTAGTGAATTTTTTGGTTCTAAAATTTTCATCTGATTATTTTCAAGTCTCTAGCTATCTGTCTAAATTTTGTTCTATTTACTTATACATGGAAAGCATTATTATTTTTATTTATTTATTTTTATTATTTATTTTATTTTATTTTTTGAGAGAGAGAGAAAGAGACAGACAGACAGAACACAAGCAGGGGAGGGGCAGAGAGAGAGAGGGAGCCACAGAATCTAAACCAGGCTCTAGGCTGTGAGCTGTCAACATAGAGTAGGATGCGGGGCTTGACCCCACAGACTGTGAGATCATGACCTGAGCCAAAGTTGGATGCTTAACCGACTGAGCTACCCAGCTGCCCTGAAATCACTGTTATTTTTAAAACTGCGTCTGATACTTTCACTATCTGGATCCCTTTAGCTCTGTTTTTGTTATTTGTTGTTTCTGTTGTTTTTCTTGTTTCTTTGTGTGACTGATTAGTTTTTATCAGGTATTAGACATAGTTTTTGCAAAATTGTACAAATGATTTGAAGCCTAGAATATTACCTTTACTCCAGAAAAAATTTCAGTTTGCTTCTGCCAAGGGTTTTGGGGGCATTAACTTAAAGGAATTACCCTAATCCAATCTCAGGGTTGAGATGATTTGAAACTGAGATGTCAAACCTTTACTTCTAGGATGCAGCCATTTGGATTCCGTGTTTAAAGCAAGTTCAACCAAGTCATCCTCCTTCTACCTTTGAACATCCTGAACTCTAATCACTATTCTCCATTCCTATTCATACTCTCAGCAACCCTCAGATCATGGCTTGGTAATTTCTATCTTGTTAGCTCTCTCATACCTTTGAGCTGATATTTTTAATATTTTGTTAAGTTTTTCTAGTGTCCTTAGTAGGAGAATTGTTACAAATTATTGAAAATACCAGAACTTACAGAGATGTAGGTACTATTAAATATACGTGGTTGCTCTTAGGAAGTACATTGTAAAAGGTCCTCAAAGGAAAAAAAATGAGACCGTCATTCAAATTCCATCTTTTTAGCCCCAAGAAGCAGACCACTACTTAGGGCTTTTGTATCCTACTCCTGGTATCCTGTAATTTGAGAAAAGTTACTTCTTTTATCAACAAACATTATTATTATTTTAAAATATTTGTTTATTTTGAGAGCAAGAGAATGAGAGTGAGCACCCAGGGAAGGGACAGAGAGAGAGGGAGAGACAGAATCCCAAGCAGGTTCCACATTGTCAGCACAAAGCCCAATGTGGGGCTTGATCTCACAAACCGTGAGTCAGATACTCAACCTGGGTGCCCCTGTTAACAAATATTATTGACTATCACCTCTGCTTCAAAAACTGTTCTAAGCAATTAGACCATAAGAATGAAAAAGTATGGGCATTGACCTTAAATGGCTTGAAGTCTACATTCCTTATTGGTAAACTGATTATTTTTAGAATCATCAAGTCATGATCAAAGAGTCTCTGTTAAATATATGTAATACAATGATAAATACATTTAAAATGTAAATGTGTATATTTGAGTTCCTATTATTCTTCAGTCTAAATATGAGGGTATTTCAAACAATATATTTTCTAATGTATTTGTCTTCCAGTAAAGTTTAAAGTAAAATAGTATTTTGGAGAGGGGTACCTGGGTGGCATAGTTGGTTGAGTGTCTGATTTTGGCTTAGGTCATGATCTCACAGCCCATAAGTTCAAGACCTGCATCGGGCCCTCTGCTGTCAACACAGAGCTCTCTTCTGATTTTCTGTCCCTTTCTCTCTCTGCCCCTGCCCTGCTGGTTCTCTCTCTCTCTCTCTCAAAATAAATAAACTAAAAAAAATTTTTTTTAAGTATTTTGGAGAATGAAGAATACAAACTTCACAGGAGATCTTAAATGCCAGGATCCTCTTTTTCCTAAAGAGTTAAGCTCTGGTTTCATAGCCTTTTTTCTCCTATATACTCTTGGGTAAAGCTACTCCCTCTGAATCATCATTAGTTTTAATCACAGCTTTTTCTTGATAGGTGTTCAAAGCCCTCTAAAATAGTCTTTAAATATACAAGTATCCCTGGACTCTAAACTATAGGTGACAGATTTCCTATGAGACCTGAGCCTTATCAGCAGAGATTATTTATTTATTTATTTTTTTAAAATTTTTTTAAAATTTTTTTTTATTTATTTCTAGGAGAGAGAGAGGGAGAGACAGCGTGAGCAGGAGAGGGTCAGAGAGAGAGGAGTCACAGACTCCGAAACAGGCTCCAGGCTCTGAGCTGGCAGTCAGCACAGAGCGTGACGCGGGGCTCGAACCCACGAACTGCGAGATCATGACCTAAGCGAAAGTCGGACGCTTAACCGACTAAGCCACCCAGGCGCCCCCAGCAGAGATTATTTAAATGTGCCAGTCTCTCTACTAAATTGGTCATAGACAGGACCAGCAGAGAGATCTTAGTGGATGCCAATGCAGTACTTCCATTATTTGACCTTGTACAAGTTACATACCTGTTCTGAATTTGTTTTGCATCCATGATAAACTGGGCTCCTAGATGACATATCTTAAAAATATATATTAATTCCAGCTCTCAAATTCTGTGATTCTTCTAGAGTTGAGAAGGACTGCTTGGTCACCTGAGTTTAGATTAGAAGGAAAAATAGAAACCGAAGTTCAATATATCAAGTAAAATACTATTATAGTAATCTGTAAGGAGATGAAGACCCTTATGATATTAGTGACCACCATGGTCAGCAGATCTAAAACAAGACTAACGAATGAGGAGGCTGTAGCTTTCCAGAAGCCACCTCCTCTTAATCTTCCCTTCCTCCTTTTCTCCCGTTCTACTACACTCTTCCTCCAGGAACTTCCTTCGATTTGTCCACATGAGGGGGCAACAGTGATCCTTCTGAAGGGAGAAAATGCATCAACTCTTGCTTCTATAAAGCATATAGTACATTTGGCGTGTGGCCGCTTACTCTAAATGCAGTTATGAGGGCTTTCAAATAGAACTAGTAGATGATTTCGGACAAATCATATAGACACAGTATTTTCATCTATGGAATGATGCCTCTAATTAATTCTGTGTCTCTCTCATCCCCAGAGCTTGACTTGTTTTTATTGTCAGTAGGCAGCTTGTTTCATACTCAGCTCACCTGACTCACAGCCCCACACACAGTGAATATCCAGTTAACATACATTGTTCAGGAAAAAAATTGAATTTTTTCATCCATCAGTCACTGTGCAGGTCTCTTTCACACACCTTTACTTTTAACTCATTCAGCACATTTGTGATATAGGCATCACTACTCTAGCTTTTTAAGATGTAGATAAAGATATTTAGAAATTTAGTGATCAGGATAATTTTAGTAAAATGGAGCCTTAGTTCTGCCACTTCTGTCAGCTTATTTTTCTAAGCCTTAGTTTTCTTCTCTGTAAAGTGGGAATTTGTAAGATTTAGGGCAGGGTTTTAGCAAAAAAAAAAAAAAAGAGAGAGAGAGAGAAAGTTCCCAAATGGAACATTGTTTTATTAAAAAAGTATTTTACATTTACCTGAAATTCTGATTTGGGGCACTCCTGTATTTTATCTGGCAGCACTATCTTAGCATTATGTTTGATAATGCATGTAAAGAACTTACCTCAGTCCCTAGCACTTAGTGAGGGCTCAGGAAATGCGATGCTTATTAAAATTTTGATGTTTCCAAAGTCCTTTTTTTTCACCACAAACACGCTGTGCTCAGTTTCCACTTAATATATCAGTCAAGCGAGTGTGATATTACTTTAAGTTCATATTAATGCTCTGCCGTTCCCACAGCGCTTTCAAAGCCTGGCCAATGGCGGAAAGCTCTTGGGGAAACCCACAGAACGAAGCTCGGGCTGTTGGGGGTCGTCGCGCACTCCCAGCACTGGATCCTCCGGCCGACGAGCCAGGAAGGCCACCCTAGCCCCGCCCCCGAGCCTTTTCGGCCACTCAGCGGCCCCGCCGCGCTCCGCTGCACTCCTATAGGTCCTTCCAGGACAGGCGAGGCCTTTCCATTTTTCCCGCCTTCCCGGCCCCTCCTCAGCCCGAAACCGGCACTAGCCCACCACGTCTCCGCCCTGCCTTCCGTGCGAACCCCGCCCTTCCGGACACCGCGTCGCCCTTCCTTCCCCACCCACAGTTCAGGGCTGCTTGCGAGGTACCGGACCCGCCCTTAGGTACGAGGTGGGAGGGGACACCGAAGGGCGGACCGAGCCCCCTTCGGAGGAGTCGCGAGAGGCGGGGACCGGAGGGAGGGGCGGGGCTAATCTCCTTGGCGCCTCGTTGCCATGGCAGCGAGGGAGGGTGCAGGGAGGGGGAGGAAGCGAGCGGGAGGGGGATGTGGTGCTGCCGCGGCCGCCACCGCAGCTGCCGCTGCCTGCTCTTTGCCGCGTCTTCCCGGAGGCGGCTGCTGGAAGCCGCCGGGAGCAGCTGCGGTGCTCTGCCATATTGTGTCTTCCCCTGCCCGTTCCTCGCTTCCCCGCTGCGGCGGCAGAGCAGACGGTGAGTTCCAGCGGAGTAGCGCCCTCCTGGGCCGGCGTTGCTGGGCGTCCGCGCTCCCCGCCCCGGCCCGCGGCGCAGTTCCCGGGCGCGGAGGCAGCGCGTGCGGCCGGCTCCCGGCGTGGGGCGCGGAGGCGGCTGTCCCGTGACGCGCCCGGACATTTTTGTCCTGTGAGGAATTGGCGCCGGCACGGGGTTCTCCCCTGCGCGCGGCTTGGGTCCTGTGTGGACTCCCGGGGGGCGTCGAACTGAGCGGAGCGCGGCCCCGTGAGGAGTTAGGAGTTTTTCGTGAGAGGTAATGACCGCCCAGGAGCGGGTGTCGTCTGGCGGAAACCGCTGCGAGGGGTGCCGGCTCTTAGGGAAGGTTCGGAGGTGGCTCCGGGCACGCTTAGGGTGCATCTGCTGTTAGAGGAAGTGCCCCAAACCCCTCGGGAGTGTGTGCGGCGCCCCTCCCCCGCCTCGAAGTGGAGCGAGACGTGCGGGGCGTGGAGTCCTGGTCCGGCCCCAGGCGGACTGACTGGGCCCAGCCAAGTAGTGCCCGGGGAGGCGCCGGCCGCTGCCTGGAGTGAACTTCAAGCCCAGGAATTGCCGGGCGTTCGGGGGACAGGGGCGGGTCCCGGATGTGGGGGTGGCCGATCCTGGCGCACTCTGGCCCCTCCTCCAGCGGGCGCCTTGGGGGCCTCTCGGGGTGTCTGTCTTGTTGGGGTGGTAGTTCTAGGGTTTTCAGCGGGGCAATATGGACACTTCCTTTTCGCTGCCTCTCTCGGGCCCTTAGTTATCTCGGTCCTGTCTTCTGTCTGGGGGCGGGGGAGGGGCGGTGAAAGGTTTTGAGGGCGTGTGCGAGGCTCCTCACCTTTCTGGGTTCGCCCCACCACAGCAGCGGCTAGTTTGAAAACCCCGGAGGACGGAGGGAGTCGGGGAAGAAGCCCCTGTGCGTGGTCCTTCATCCTCCACAGTTACTCAACTCCACCCCTTTTACCCCTCTGCAGAATGCGAGTGTTTCCACCTTAGCTCGCGGGAGTGAGAGTAGTGAATTCAGTGGGGTAGTACTCGGGATCTTCTTGGACCTGATTTCTGCTTTAAGGTCTCTTTAAAAGCAGCCCCTGTACTGCGTTTTCACCTTACAGAAAAAAAAAAAAAGTCTTAGCGTGCACAGAAACGGCACGGTCTTTCTTCTACCCCAACTCGGAGGTGGAGGGTGGAGGGCAGTTCTTTATTTCCAGGTTTATTTGTGCTGTTTTCCCTGTCTTCCTTTTGATTGTGACAGCCACGTGGCCGGCTGACTAGAGTGCCCGAGCGCCACTAGGTCTGTGGCTTCACTGGTAGCCAGGAGCTTTGTAATCGTGCTGTAGCCTTGCATCCACATTTATTTTGGTGTTTTCTGAATGAGGAAGTGGAAAAAGCTGAACTGTTCATGTCTATCTCTGTTCCATCTGAATTGTCAGACTTACCTGTTTCCTTGAAGTCCTTGTAGGGTATATATCGACGTTTTTGCCTTTCTCTGCTGTTTTGATGATTCATCTGTAAAATCTCAGCAGTGTTAGGTACCACTAAAGGAGTGGTGGAGAATAGAGTAGTACATTATGGAGTTTCCCAACTCTGGAAGAATATCGTTTGTATTTCAGAACCATTAGTGAGAGGTTCTAATGCAGTCAGAAATCATCACATTCTGGAATATTTCTTGTTGAGTTTTTTAAGTCTTATTTTTTTCTTTTTATATAAAAATGTGACCTGAAAGAATATAGACAAATTATGAGTGAAAATACTTGTTTAGGGATAAAATAAATACTCGTTTGACGTGTGTGTGCGCTTTCTTAAGCTCTGTTTGAAAACGTATGAACGGGTAATGTGAATGTTAACATGAACAGATTTTATTTTAAGGAGTGAAATTTAATTTTGAGAATATATGAAAGTAAAGGATCAAAGAGTTGAAGATTTGAAAATCCAGACTTTTGGAGAGTTTGGAAAATTTTAGAATTTAAATGTAATCTCTGGATACTAACGCATGATAGGTCATTTTGTGAATGCTTTGGTGGATCTGAATTATTTCTGCAACATATGATTTTATTTGGATCAGTTTTACTTGAATAGTACTAAGCCACAGGAAGCATTTAAAATGTGTAAAAGAATTATGTAGAGAAGTTATAGCAGCACCATTTATTAGAATTTAATTATGCCTTAACAGTGGTTCTGAATCAATGAAGTTAATAGATAAAAAGATTGGAGAGGCTTCATTGCCAGAAAGATAATGCGATTGAGAAATGACTATTATGTGCTGACCACTGAGAGCAATGCTTAGTTGAGAAAGAAAAGTAAATGTGATGATGAAATGCTTATATAAAACAGGAAGCACTGAAAACATATGCCGTAAGTTAACGACGTTATTAGGGGATCCAACTATGGAATGAAACTTTAAAAAGTGCCCTCCAAACTTGACGGAGGACCAAGGGGGAGAAGAAGGGCGGAAATGGTGGGGGAAAGGGAGAGAGGCAAACCATGAGAGACTCTTGAATGCTGACAAAAACTGAGGACTGATGGATGTGGGGGGGAGGGGGGGATGGGCATGGAGGAGGGCACTTTGGGGATGAGCACTGAGTGTTATGTAGAAACTAATTTGACAATAAACTATTTGTAATAAAAAAAAAAAAAAGTGCCCTCCAAGTAGGACTTGTTCTTATGGTAGCTTATTGCTTAGCTGTCCTAGTATGTGTGTGTATGTGTTGCTTTTAGATTGTTTCCTTTTTAGTAACTGGGTTTTACATAAATGCAAAAGTCCTCCAAAAATAAAATTTTGAGGGCCCAAAGCTTTGCTGATTTCTTAGGGAAGAAATGGAGGTCTTTGATTTGATCCCTATTTGGTTGAAGAGACTAGGTTAACACTAGTGAAAATTTAAGAATTTATTGTGTAAGAAGATGTAATTAGGAGTTAAATTGTATAATGAAGGCAAGTGGTGTAAGGCTTAAAAGGAAAAGGAACCTAGAGGGTTTAAGAAGTTAGGGGAGGCTTCTTAGAGAAATAAAGCTCTTACTTTCTAAAGTCTAAAATTATGTTACTCCCATTGGGTTAATCTTTCTGAAAATTGTTTCATTCATTTGTCAAGCATAAATTGTATTACCCTTTATATCAAATATGAATACCAAATTTCTTCTCAGGACTTTTCAAACTTTGGTCCTTGTTTAATCCCATCTTCCACTAATCTTCAGGAATTGTTCTTTATTCACTACTACAATGTGATATAACAATTTTACTTCTTATCTTTGCTGGTGTAATAATATTTTTCTGTTGGAAATATACCTGCACACATCTTCTTAACCACTGAAGAAATACTCAAGCTTGAGTCTTGGCTGCCTGAGAGCCTTAGAATCATAGAATTTTAGACCTGCCTTTACCTCTGCAACTGAAAATTCTTTACCTTTTTGAATAGCATGTAATTCTTTTGGCTGTAGCATTCTATGCTGCCTTGTTTTCACTTAATAAATACTTTTTGAGCACTTCCCATTTGCCAAGCACTGTTATAGGAACTGAAGGTACCACTTTGAATAAGACAAATTCCTATGTTCCTTTTTTTAATGTTTATTTATTTGTTTTTTGTGGGGGAGGGAAGAGAGAGAATCCCAGACAGGCTCTGCACTATGTGTGCAGAGCGTGATGCAGGGCTCAGTCTTATAAAATGTGAAATTGTGAGATCATGACTTGCACTGAGCCACCCAGGTGCCCCTCCTGTGTCCTTTGTTAGTCATCTTTTTAGGGTTTTTCCCCCCACATTTATATATTTTTGAGTGACAGAGCATGATGGGGGGCGGGGGAGGGGGTTGATATAGAATCTGAAGCAGGCTCCAGGCTCTGAGCTGTCAGCACAGAGCCCACAAAGGGGCTTGAACTCACGGACCCTGAGATCATGACCTGAGCCAAATTGGACCCTTAACTGACTAAGCCATCCAGGTGCCCCCCATCCTTTTAGGTTTTATCGCCCCAAGAAGATTACAAAGTCTTTGACCACCCAAAAGAGTCTTATTTTCCTGGGTATATGTGATATGCTTCATGAGTATTGAGTTATTTTTTGAATAAAGGAAAGGCAAGACTTACAGAATGAGGTAGAAAGATGGATGGAAAGTTTTACAAGTGAAGGGTAAAAGTGCATAACCAATTATGGACGGCTTTAAAAGTATCACTTCTGAATTTAAATATGGTTTAGTACCAAAAAAAGATAATATTTGAGCCTAGGAATATAATAAAATCCTTATTTGAGGAAGGTTCATTTGACAGCAGTGTTAATAGTAATTATTAACTATGGGCATGGGAAGGAAAGAGATCTCCTGAAAAAAATCTTTGAGAGGGAGGTTTGGGAGGGAAGCATCATCAAAATGGTGTTTAGTTAGTTGAGTGTAAGGTGTATGAGAGAAAGTAAGGGGAATATGACCTTTAGTGACTAAAGATTAGAG